TAGGAAGTCTGTGGCTTTTTTACAGTTTGTGTTTCAGTATTCTCCCATTCAATTATATGGTTAGTGTTGATTGCATGGGTGTCTGCTAGAATTTACAATCCTGGTTCTACACTGCAGTTTTGTGTTTCTTAATTCTTTGATGTAGTTGGTCTCCTGATTGTCCTATGTCCTGTCTAGGGAGTTAATTCTTTACATGATGTTGGTTCTCTTCTTTTAGAGTGTGCACTCTTTTAGTTTGCAGAGAATTCTTTACAGTATTTTATGGCCACTATGATGCCTGGGGATTGGGTACCTACTAGTGTGTTCTGAGGCATTATTATTGTAGTATTTGAGGTATCTTTCTGTTCTTTGTTTTGTTTCCTAGTGCATTTTTAAAAATGAAATTAAGAAGGTAATTGTTCTTCTGTATGTATTTTGGAGGTAGCTTTTTTTGAGAGTTGGTAAGCTGTAGTGTGTTTTTGTCTTGTTAATGCAGATTCTTATGCAGCTCATTCTGGGGTGATTGCTGCAGAAATTTAAAATTTGGTTAGTGTGTTTGGGTTTGCACTATGCCATCATTCTGTTTTGCGATGAGAATATTGAGGAATGGGAGTTTGTTTTATTTTTCAATCTCTGTGGTGAAACTTAATCCACTGGGCCTGTAGAATTGAGATTGAGATGTGTGATCTATAGATACCAACTACAAAAAGTTGCCATTGCTTTTTAAATTCATCCAGATATTGATATATTTATGACATATTTAAATTTATGAATAGCCAGGGTAAATATTAAAATGAAATGTAAAAGTTAGGAAGATGTATTTGAATGCTTCAAATGTGTTGCTTGAAAATCATTGCTATATGCTTACATATCATTCCACAGTCTAGAAAGAGAAAATATTATGTCACCCAGTTGGTTGTTATAAAGATTGTTTATGAAGTTGAATCTAAGACTTATACATTGAATTGGGGAATTCTGAAAAATGAACTGTATGGCACAGGAGACCAAATCATGCTAAGGTGCAGAGAAAGACTATACATCAGTTCAAAGGCTACATTATTCAAAAAAATACAACCATAAAAAAGGTAATAAGATTACATTCTCACACTTCATGGCTAGTAAGGTGCATTAGGCTGCTCAGATATTCATAACTTACTGTGACATTTCATGAGATTACATTTTGCTGTGCACAGTCATTACTCCTGCTCAGATAATAACTAGCTAGTGTATGTATCTGGATTATGTGATCCCTGTCTTTGGCAGCAAATTTGTGTCTTGAAGGTTGATCAGCTTCAAATTACTATTAGAATAGGTTAATATGACATACTGTTAAGGTGTGCGCTTATGTGCATCTATAATGTGTTAGCATTTTAGTAGTATATCAAATTTTCTACAAATTGCATATAACTTTCCCATTTGTTAAAAAAATTCATAAAACATTTAAATGAAAAATACTTAAGCCTGATTTCCTGAATGTACTATTCCTAATGGCTAGTGAATTATTTGTGTTTTGCAGATTAGATAGGAAAACTAATATGTCAACTTCTTGGATGGGTGGTTACTGCCTATGTACATGTAGCTAAAAGTGAAAGATGACTGGTAGAGAATTGAGGTGAAGGTGAGGTCACTTTACTTAACAGCAAAATGTATGGCCTATAAGGTGTTGGCATGACAGTTGATGGTCCTTTAGAACCAAATATATTAACTCAAACAACTGTAAGAAGATAGCGGCCAGATTTTTTTTTTTTTTGGTAGTGCTTCACAGTGAGCTTAGCATTGGCTAAAAGTTGAATTCATAGACATGAATTCAAATGTTTTCTTTAATAAAGTTGCTTTTAATTCATTATGACTGCATTAAAGCTGGCCTTTCTATTGAACCAAGTCCTTAATTGCTACTATTGCTAATATCACGCTGTGAGGACAGATTTTAAAGCCAGAAATCCTGTATTATTTGGTTATCATTTCTGGTAGATGAGATTGTTTCTGATCCTGGTATTGCTATTGGGAGTGGGGTGGAATAGAAAAGTGATCTCTTTAGATTTAGTGCAAGCTGTCTAGGATTTATAAGTTAAAACAACCTTAAATAATGGCAGTTATGCAATGTGTATATAATGAACTTCCCTGCTAAGGAATTTGCACTATCACAACTTTAAAACACACTTCTAGAGAATCATATCTTGGCACTAGATCCAAAAAGTGTGCATCTGCATTTTATTTCTAGGACATGCATACAGTTTATCACTATCACAAACACAGAGATTTGAGAAATATGTTATTTGCAGGTTATTATATATGCTGTTACTCCTTCATTAAGAAAAAAAGTTTAAAAAGGAAAATATTAAAATCTTTGTTCATTTCTATTGTCTGTATATTCTGTTTTAAAATGTCACATATATTCACCATATATTTCCAATCTTGAAGTGTTTGACACTGTTGATTTATGTTGAGAAAGCTGAAAAATGTGTTTTCCAAGTTACATATTTCTCGAACACTTCTGACCTTGAGTAATGAGTGGAAGCTGCTTGAATTCATGGAAAAGCATAGAAGACAGACTTGTTTAACAAATCTTACACCAGAATCGCTATATTTTAAATGAAAACCTTCTCTGATTAGTTTCTGTTTAGTAATAGATCTCTGCCACTAACTCATATACCCAATATGTGACATTTACAGAATAAAATATAGGTCCAGAAAGAAAGCCTGTCAGCATACTAGCTGGCAGGTGGCAGTATAAACTGAATGCTGTAATATGAAATCCATGCTCATCAGCTTGAGGAAGCTGTATTCAATAACATTGACCAGGATGCAAATAACAATATTAACAATTTCCTATAGAAAAACAAGGGGAAACTCAGTCAGTGTACATCCTTAGTCTATTCAGATCATGATATACTATAGGTAATAGAACGTTCATGTATGAAGGTACTAAGGAGGGCAAGCAGGCTTTATTCAGTGCTTCTTCCTTGGGTCCTTCAGAAGTGGACATATGCTACCAGCTAAATATGCTCTGACTCTTTTCTAGAGTTGCAGAATATGCAGCCTTATTTTGACAGTGGCTGTAGTCCAGTCTGTCCACTGGCATTGATCATAGACAGTTGTATATCCAGGCTAGGACCAACATTTCTTTTTGGGAGTGCCATTGGTTATGGGTTTCTTAGCCCTATGTCCTACAAACCATATATAGGTTTGTTTAGAGATCACAAAGAAGAAATAAATGAATGTCTCAAATAATTGGTTCAGTCACATAATTCTTTCTTATACAATGCTGCAGCAGCATTTATTTTTGTGTTATGATTTAACTTCCATTTTTATCAAAAGTTTAAATTGTTTAGTAAGGTGGAAGGGTATGTTTTGAGCATGTAAATAAAGGGGTAGGGACAGGTATGGCTACTAATCTAGGTTGCAAAATTTTGATGACAATTGTATGGCAGTTACCAGAACATTGTCTTTCCTTGTCAGCTGGAAAGACAGATGGTGGCCCTTGGACAATCTTTTTCACCATCATACTGGCTGATTATATAATCTTTTTATAAAATGCAAAGCCAATAAGTGACAGCTTGATGCTGTTCAGAGTACTCTTGCAGGTAAACAATTTGCCTTTCTCATTTGAGGGCAGTTTATGTGCTTGGAGACAGAGCATGTGTTCAGTGGAATTTTCACTTAGTGCTCAGATGGAACCAATTGGGTAAGTTAACCTGGAGACAGATATATGGAGTTTGCCTTATCCATTCAGTAGAACTTTGATGGGATTAACTTGTTGAGCAGAGTACAGCAGTGCTCCCAGAAACCCTTTGCCCAGGGAAAAAATACACAC